TGGGGGGGGGGGGGGTATGTCCCTGACTAAAGACAGCACCTGATGCAAGGATTATTAAAATGTGTTCAAGAGATCCATAGAAGAGGGCAATGTCCCCTGCTACAGAGGAAGGCAAACCCCTACCTCCACAGCCCATACCAAATCTGTGGGGTAAAATTGTTTTCTGATCCCAAGTGTGGCAATCAGACTAACCCTAAGCAGAGGCATGATCCTCTGATCAAGAACCTCAGGGTTTTATTCCTAAACAGAAGCACTGGCAAACCCCAGTCAAAATCTGCAGCATTGGCTGCAGCCAACACCCAACACTTCAGAGAAGAAGGTGGGGGAAAAAAACCCCCTGACATGTAGCAGCTGGGAGGACGGAAAACAAATTCCTTTTCTGCCCATGAAGCAATGAGCAAAGATCTATTAACAGATGCTATATTGGGATCTCATTACTGAAACGTTTTTATCATTACAAAAACTAGTACAGTGCACTAAGTTTACTCTGTTACCAAACTAAATAAAGCTCGTTTTAACGTACTAGGTTTGCTCTTTTCAAAAAGTAGGACATACAACTTCTTGCTTATGTAGTAAGGTAAGTAAATTGTTGCATCTTACATTTTTTTCTGGGACTTTAAGGAAGAGGGGGGTAGGTGAAGGGTTAAAAAAAACTAGAACTGAAATTGTAATCTAGCCACTGAATGTATTTACACAACACTGATTACATTTGATTTGCCTGGTAAATAAAAAACAAGTGTAGCAATTAAAACATTACACAATTCAAATCTACACAGCCCTACAGGTGATGCTGTTTGGTTTTGTAAATGTTATGCAGTCCTACCAGGTCAATTCTTAAACCTACCTCTCTACAAGCATCCTGCAAAATAGGGTTAAGCATATTCATTTCTGAAAGATTTGCTTTAACAATCTCTTGAAAAACCAATACATACTGTACCTTTTGTGAGAAGGCCAAATGCCAGGTGGACAGCGTTTCATACTGAACATATAAACTGCAGCCTCAGCAGTAGTGAAGAGATGACAGAAGCACAGGAAAGAACAAACTACCACAGCAGAAGCTGCTCTTCCATCCTACAAAAAAAGGATAGCTTAATGTTATTAAACCTGGTTTAAATAAATAAAGAGGCAGGAGTTACTCTACATTACTGTTTGCACAATCAAAAAAAAGAAGGCACATGTGGTTATTAGACAACTACTAGACTTGTTAGAATTAAAGCTGCTCACAAAAGCACAGAACAGACAGGGAAAAGAAAATTCGTTTCCTGCTTGGATGCTAGAAATTACTATTGATTACTTTAGCTTTACACAGTATTTCATGGACCAAATTCTTAGCATCATGACCCTTGTGCTTTAAATCACATTTTCTAGTTGCTATGTAGACGATACATTTGAGACAGTCCACAGGCTGGCAAGCTACTATGAGTAGGCATAAGATGCCCAGAAGCAACTGGAAACAAACATAAGAGTAGACATCAGCTGCAATCCCTTCCCAACATGCTTCCTTCCGTGATACTTCTTATTCAAATATCAGTGTATGAATGCAACACCATATACTGGCATTTGAGAAGCACTTTGACATTTTTATTAGTACTGTGCCATCTGACCTAAATGCTAGGTCAATCTGCAACATTTAACCAAAGTCTGTGACTGGTCTGCTCCATGCTGGTTTAAAGGGGTATGAGGGTGGAGGAAACATCAGGCTGCCAGACCTAACAGCAACCACAACTGCAGCCCAGCCCAGACCACCAAGCGAAGTGAATAAACAGGTAAGAGATAGGGGCCAGG